TTACTCTCAGCCTGACCAAGCGAAGGTCTCCTCTTCCATAACCACACAGCCCCTCTCAGGGTGCTCGTAAACTACAGGGCCATCTTCCCTTTCTTGGAACGAATTCTACAGCTCTCCTGTAGCATGAAAGCTGTTTCAGTCAGATTTTAAAAAATATTTTATTTAGACTTTTTATTTTGAGGTACAAGGGCAGTGGTGGTTCAGCGGTAGAAGTCTCGCCTTCCACGGGGGAGACCTGGGTTCAATTCCCAGCCAATACCCCTCATGCGCAGCCACCAGTCTATCCGTGGAGGCTTTCATGCTGCTGTGATGCTGACCAAGTTTCGGTGGAGCGTCCAGTCTAAGATGGTCTAGGAAGAAAGGTCTGGTGATCTACTTCTGAAAATTAGCCAACGAAAACCCTGTAGATCACAACAGTGCGTGGTGTCTCCATGAGTTGGGGGCCCAACTTGACAGCAGCTACTAACATTTCGAAGTATAATGTAAAAAAAGTACAATGAATTATTGCAAAGGAAACACTCGTGTAACCAGCCTCGGTCAAGAAGTAGGACGTTGCCAACACCCCAGGAGTCCTCTTGAGCCCCCTGCTTCCTTCCTTAAGGGAGGCCTGTTTTCCTAACATTGTAGGGGGAGCCCTAGGGAGCCCTAGTATTACAGAGGTTAAGAGCTCAGCTGCTAAACAAAAGGTCGGTAGTTCAAATCCACCAGCCACTCCTTGGAAACCCTGTGGGGCAGTTCTCTTTCCTATAGGGTTGCTATGAGTCGGAATCGACTCAAGGGCAATGGGAAACATTGTACAATAGTTTCATTTTGTCAAGCAGACTTTTTTTTTTTAAATAAACTTTATTTTTTAGGGCAGTTTTAGATTTATAGAAAAATTGTGCAGAAAGTACAGAGAGTTCTCAGATATCCCCGCCCCTCTGCACGGTTTCTTCTATTATTCACATCTTGCATGCCTGTGGTACATTTGCTATAGTTGATGAACCAATCTTGGTACATGATTATTAACTAAAGCCCATAGTTTACTTTAGGGTTCACTCCTTGTGTTGTACAGGCCTACAGGTTTTGAGAATCAGGCAGACGTTTTAAAACACATTGTCTCCCTAAAAAATACTTCTATGCCCACGGGTAGATACCTACTGGTAATGCCTTACCTCCCATGTTTTCTCAGGCATGAGGGACACATCTCGCACGTTTACATTTCTGAGTCAGGATATGTCTTACAAATGAGATAGTCATTTAACACAAAGTTGCTTTTCTTCCCCCAAAAAAGCCACCGTTAGATTGTCCATGTGTCTTCACAAACAAGGAAGTAGAATGTAGATGCGACATCTCCAGCAGGACACTGATCCAGTGGCCTCCTGGAGGAGGGCCCTCTAGGAGGGATGCCGACCAGCCCTTCTAAGGAGGAGCTGGGGTCGACTGCTGGAGGGGGGCATGCTGCCAAGCACAACCCCGCGGAGTTGCCATGGGCAAGAAAGGGTGGCCGAGTCTGTGAGACCCTCAGGCTTAGGGCACTGGATCCCCTGGCTGCAGAAGACTGTTGTGGGCACTTTTGCCTTTCTGGGCCCCGCGTTAATCATAACCGACATAAGGCAAATTTTCAACGTTGAAGATAACTCAGATCCCTGCTTTCCCATTTCTCCAACATCCTGACACCAGCTACCCACATGGCACTTTCTCTCTCTGATCCTAATCACCTTAAGTTGATTTCCACCGTTAACAATAATAAAAGCTCTGGCCCCCAGACACCCTTTTAGCTCAGTGGTGAAGTCACTTCTGAGGTTCACAGTTCAGCCGGGAATTGGACAGCCCCATAAAACAAAATGGGACTAATGAGGCACAGCAGTCCAGGGACAAGGACTAGAAGGCAGAAGGGGACAGGAAAGCTGATGATAGGGAACCCAAGGTTGAGTAAGGACAGTGTTGATGTGTAGTGGGGTTGTTAACCATTGTCATAGGGCAACATGTGTACTAACTGTTAATGAGAAAATTTTTGTCCTGTAAACTTTCATCTAAAGTGAGAATAGCAGCACAACTGGAAGAGCGTAGTCGATGTCACTGAACTGTGCATGTAGAAATTTTTGAAATAGGGTATAAAATGCCTATGTATATTTTTCCCCAAAAAAAAAAAAAAAGGTCGAGAAGGGAAAGGGTTGACATGTCGTGGGGTGGTTAACCAATGTCATAAAACAATATGTATACCACTGTTTAATGAGAAACTGTTTGTTCTGTAAGCCTTCACCTGAAGTACAATAAAAAAAAAATTAAGCATAAAAAAAAATCATCAAATCTCAACAAAATTTGAATGTAAGATTTATTCTGAGCAGTTATTCTATACACATACAGGGAGACCATTTTAATTCCAGAAAAAGCAAATGACTCGAAGAAGCTAAGTACAATGAGGCTTATAAATAAATACAGAAGAGCAACCAATGGCTAATCTTAACGTGATTGATTGAACCCTGCCCTCCCCCTTTAACTGAGATCAACTGGTATCAGGTCACAAAATGGTCTCCGCACCTCCACTCAGCTCAGTCTTTTGAAATTCAAATTTGGTTAGCCTGGCTTCAGACAGGAAAGAAAGGATTGTAATTTCAGGTGAAAAGAAAAGCCACTGGCGGATTACTTTTGGTCAGGAACTTCTTTAAAGTGAATATTTGGTTTTGTGAGTAAGCAAGCCCTAAAATCAAAGCAAGATATCTGCTCTCAATTTCTTTGAAAACACAGATTAGGACTCTGTCCTTCCAACCCCTGCCAAATAGGCAAACGCCAGCCTCTCTGCTGGCTCTCCCTGCTCCCCCCAAAAAAACCAAACCGGTTGCTGTCGAATCGATTCTGACTCCTAGTGATCCTATAGGACAGAGTAGAACTGCCCCATAGGGTTTTCAAAGAGCTGCTGATGGCCCACCTTTTGGTTAGCAGCTGAGCTCAACCACAGCGCCACCAGGGCTCCACCCTCATTGCCCCCAGTGGGCTCGATAATTCACTGGAATGACTCACAGAACCCCCGGAAACTATTACCTGCACGTACTGACGGTCACCCATTCATGATAACCAGAAAGGATACAAGGGAAGAGACGCATCAGGCAAGGTCTGGGAGAGGTCTTGGCACCACAGGGCTTCTATCGTCCCTAGGGACGTGCTACATTCTCCTATTCATGGAAGCTCTCACCAATCCAGAAAGCCCCACAAGAGAGATCTCCAAGGTCCAATGTCCCTAAGTCATTGTCAACTGTATCGTGCCCCTCTCCTTCCTGAGGTGAATTGCCTGGTGAGGAGTCGGAGGGTTCCCAACTCATTTGCACCCATTTGAGTGTTGCTTGGCTGTTTTAGAAAAACAAAGACACCTTGATTGCTAGAGAATTCCAAGGGCTATTTTTTGAAACCAGCGACAAAAGGCCACACCTTGTTCTTTGTCCTACACAGGCACCTTCCTCCAGAAAAGACTTATTAAAATTATATTTTATGACTTCATTGGTCTAAAGACAAATATAGTGCAGACGGGATTATAATCATTTTTCTTTCTGACGTTTTTTGTGCTTAAATATACATAAAACGTACGAGTTCGCAACAATTTCTAAACGTACGATTCAGTGACACTAATTACCTTCTTCAAGTTGTGCAACCATTCTCGCTATCCTTTTCCAAATCATTCCACCACCATTAACATAAACTCAATGCCCCCCTAAGCAACGACTCCCTTCCTTCTGATTTTAAAAGAAATTAAACGTTTTTGTGGTCTCCTAAAATATCATGAGTCTTAGACACCTGTGTCCTGTACCCTGCTGGAAGACGTGATGGGAGTTTCAGGAAATCCATTTTGGTCAAGTGCTGCCTTGCTAAGGACGGATGAGGGCAGCTGAGGATAGAAGGAGCTCTCCATACAGGCCAGGCAGAGGCTGGGTGCAGCAAAGAGCTGGGGAGGGGTGGATTTGCAGCTAGAGAGCCGTTGACCTTGGGGTTTTCAACTTCCCAACCCCATACCCCCAAGCCCTGCTCTGGAGACACAGTGAGAGAGCTGGGCACTTGGGTGGCCAGCGACAGACCTGCTCTGGCTAACTTGAACAGAAAGAGGGTGTCGTCCTGGATGGCCCTGGGCGCCTCTCGGGGTGAAGGGAAGGCTTGGAATAGCCAGGTCCAAGCATCCCCAAGGGTCTTTTGAAGCCCCTTGACCTAGTATGGAGGAGCCACAGTGGCACAGTGGTTAAGTGCTTGGCTGCCAACCAAAATGTCAGTGATTGTAACCCACCAGCTGCTCCACAGGATGTGGCAGTCTGCTTCCGTAAAGATTTACAGCCTTGGAAACCCTATGGTGCAGTTCTGCTCTGTCCTGTAGGGTCACTATGAGTCGGAATCAACTGGACGGCAACGGATGTGTTTTGGTTTACCTTAGTATGCTCTCAGCTACTAACCGTAAGTTGTCAGTTCGAATCCACCCAGAGACGCATGAGAAGAAAGTCTTGGCTATCTACTTCTAAAAAAATCAGCCATTGAAAGCCCTATGGAGGAGTTCTATTCTGACACACAAGGGGTCATCATGAATCGGAGTTGACTCCATGACGATGGTTTTTTTTTGACCCTAGTATGCATTAATGCAGTCCCTGGGATAAGTTAACTCCAGTCATTTACTGTCTTCTCTCAACTAAGTGCATGTATTCTAACTCAGGAGGCCAGGTACTTGGGTCCATGTAACTCGCCCTTGGCCTGGGGAGGGGGAGACACCTGGGTAACAGCCCCCCAAAGTGTCCTTTGGGGTTAGGGTGGAATTTACCCAAGGAAATCAGGGCACTGTTATCAAAAGGCCTCTGGGTGGTGCCGAGTGACAACTTGCCAACCTATTGTCCAAGACCACAGAGGCTGGAGCCCGGGGGACTGGGGAGGTCTAGCCTGTGTGCCGAGAAGCCAGGCCTCTGGCCCAAGCCCTGTGGGCAGGCTCAGCCAGGTCAGCAGAGAAGGAAGTGACCATAGACCCTGAGCATCCTCTGTCCCATCTTCAGGGGCCCAGGTCTTCTGGCTGGTGGCTACTGACCGGGATGGGGACCCTCTGACCTATGGGATTAGTGGCACCTATGCCTACTTCTTCCACGTCACCCCAAGCACTGGGGAAGTGAGTCTGGCCAGCCCTCTGGACTACGAGGTAAATTAAAGACAGCAGCTTCATGGTGGGGAGGGGGAGACAGGGAGGGCCCTGGGGACGGGGGTCCTGGCAGTAGGTGCCTGGCTTCTACCCCCACCCTACTCAAGCCCCTTCTCTCTGCCCTGACACAGACCATCTTCAACTTTGGCATCACTATCTCTGTGCACGACAGTCAAAACAACGCGGTGAGTGGGAAGGTGGAGGAGGGAGGGCTGTCTAGGGGTGGGGAGAGCAGGGGCCTAGGGACCCCTCCTGACTGTGCCCCACCTCAAGAAGGCAGAGACAGCTCCAGGTGACAATTAATTTAATATTTATTTTTATCAAAATTATACTTGCCCATTTTTTGTGATAAAATTTTATCAAGATTTTAAAATAACAAACAAGGACCCAATACTCCCCATCCTAGTTTCTCTGAAGCAATTAGTTTCAACACCCTTGGCTGACTATTTTGGTATCTACCCTCATATTTCTAAAAACATGTGTACATTGCAGTGTCTTGGTTTTCTGGTTGAAGTTATCTGTGGAAATTGAGGGTTTTGTCTCTGACATATTCCCAGTCCCTGGGTGACACAAATGGTTAAGCTCTCGAATACTAACCCAAAGGTTGGCAGTCTGAACCCACCCACAGGCACCTTGGAAGAAAGGCCAGGCTGTCTCCTTCTGAAAAATCAGCCATTAAAAACCCAGTGGAGCACAGTTCTATTCTGACACACACATGGGGTCACCATGAATTGGAATAGACTCAAAGCAATTAATTTTTTTCCCTGCTTGGGTATGATCTAATTAACGTAACTAAGAGAACCCTATTTCCAAACAGGATTACATCCACAGGTATAGGGGTTAGTTAGGCTTCCAATAGTTTTTTTTTGAGGTGGTGGTCACAATTTAACCATAGTTTTAATTACTTGGATATTCAGGTATACGCTCTCTCTGTGAACATTTCAAGCATTGCAGATAAAGTTAAAGTCCCCTATGACAAACCTCCCCAGCTCAGTCCCACTGCCCAGGTGTCCACTGTCCCTGTGCTCTTCCAAACCTCTTGTCAACATTTATGTACGTACATGCATCCACAGGAGAAAGATCGTTTTTGGAAAGCCAGATGGAATCTTATTGTACGAATCCTACATTTTGCCTTAAACCTGCCTTGCCCACTCAACAGTCGGTCTTGGAGATCTTTGCATGCCTGCACACACGAGTCTCCTTCATTTCTGCTAATGTCTGCATTACAGTGCCATGTTTCCCCTCTCATGGACATTGGGGCCGTTAACAAAGCTAAAAGGAATATTCATGTAATGGAGCAGGCACATTTTAGATTAAAAAAACTGATTGCCTAATGATGACTGTAACTTACTCTCCAATGGTTCAGAAAAAAGTACGCAGAGAGAGAGAAACCAAATGTGGTAAGTATTAACAACTGGAATCTAGATGAAGGGTATTCAGGAGTTATTTGTTCTATATTTGCAACTTTTCTGGAGTTTGAAATGACAGTTGATCCTCATTATTCTTTGGTTCCGTTATCTGCGATTTTGCCTACTCACTAAAATTTATTTGTAACCCCCAAATCAATACCCCGTGGTGCTTATGGTCATTTGCGCACATATGCAAGAGTGGCGAAAAATTTGAGTCCCTTGATGTGCACGTTCCTGGCTGAGGTAGAACAAGGTGAGGCTCTGCCTTCTTGTTTCAGGTCTCAGACTGCGAACAAGTGTCCTTTCTGAGGTCTATTTAGTGTCACTTTTTTGCATTTTTGTTGGTGATTTTGCCATTTAGAATGGCCCCAAGTGTAGTGCTGAAGTGCCGTCTGTCTAGTGTTCCTAAGTGTCAGAAGGCTGTGCTGTGCCTCGCGGGGAAAACGTGTTAGAGAAGCTTCGTTCAGGCATGAGTTACAGTGCTGCTGGCTATGAGTTCAGTGCTACTGAATCAACAACAGGGTGCATCCAGAAAAGAAGAGGAAATTCACCAATCCGTACATTAGGCTGAACTGGGAAGTAACATCTATGGTGTGTGATGAAGCTGTGGAGAAGATGGACAGGGAGATAAATTTGTGGATTCATGAGATGACAACTAATTAAACAATGCCTAATGGGCAGCAGTGCTGTGAGGCTGGAAGTCAAAGAAATTTATGGTCACGAACATTAATCAGGGTCAGGAAAATGTTAAACCCTTCTCTGCTAGTATTTTATTATAAAGAAATATAGCATATAACTGTTTGTAAGAAATAGATATTAAATAAGATGTCTTTAGAAGAAATACACATAAAACAAGATATGTATTGAGCGGGTGATGAAAATGTTGTGACCAGAGGTTCACAGGAACCTAACCCTGTATTTCCCCTGGAGCAGTAACTCAGTATTCGCAGTGACTTTATAGAACATAACTCCTGTGAACAATGAGCATCAACTATGTATCAAAAGTTACCCAAAACACTGCCTGATTGTCCTCCTGAATTGTTATGCCAACTTGCACTCTGCCCAGACTCTCCCACTTGATTTTCTCAAGCACCCACGTTTTCCAGACTCACCTGGACTTTCTCACCTACAGGTACAGAAGGAAATGCAGGTGATCGTGGAGGACAGAAATGACAACGCTCCTGTCTTCCAGAACATCAGCTTCTCCACCAGCATCAAAGAGGTAACACATGTGTTAAACGTGTGTGTATTGGGCAGGGGGGCACACCAGAAAAACTTCTCAGAGTGAGAAAGACCAGAGACAGCCATTAGAAGGAGCAGCTGCAGGAACCAAATTCAGAAGGAGGTGACTGAAGAACAATTTTTTCAGCAATATTTGGTGATCAGTCAGAATGGATTGGAATTCTTTCAGTTGTGAAAGCAAAAAAAGAGAGAGAGAGAAAGAAAAGAATTGATATTCTCATGTATCAGAAAAATTTAGAGTACTCTGACTTCAGGCATAGCTGGGCCCAGGTGATCAAATGATGTCATCAAGAAAGGGTTTCTCTCCATCTCTCAGCTCTGCTTCTCTTGTTGCCTACATCCTGGGAGGGGATGGGGTGCCGGGTGGTTATCCCATGTGATGTTTAAAATGTCCACCAGATGCTCTGGTTTATATCCCATTAGCTTTGCAACTCTAATAGAAAGAGATTGTCTCTTGATCAATGGTCCCAGCCAAAGCTGCAGGGCTGACTTTCATTGGCCCATTTTGGGTCATGGGCCCATCCTTGCACCAATCTGGGGGTACAGAATGCTCTGAGTGGCTAGGTCCGCATCAAAGGCCTTCCCCTCTAGCAAGGAGGAGCAGTCCCACTTGACCTTCATGGCAGGGGGTGGGGAAAAATGTTCCCCAAAGGTTTCCAGGCAGCAAACACTATGTACTGCCCTTGAATTGTCATAGTGGTGTGGAGGACCTGCAAGGTGTGGTGCCCCACACTAGGCCAGAGATGAGGCTGGTGAGGTTCAGACAGTCATTCCATAGGTTCTGATGGAGCACCTACTATGTGCCAGGCACTGTCCTAGGTGCTGATGATACATGGAGAACAAGACAGACCTGGCCACTGCCTTCAGTAGCTTATGTTCTAGTGGAGAACAGACAATAATCAATGAAACACAGAATAAGCAGGATTATTTAAGATGGTGTTGAATTCTATGAAGAACATAAAATGAAGTAAAGTGAAAGAAAGTTACTGGAGTGTGGGCTGCTTTAGGTTGGGTGGTAAGGAAAGGCTTCTCTGAGTAGGTGATATCTGAGCAGAGACCTGAACGGCAAGAAGGGATTGGCCATGGAAAGCTCCAGGAAAAAAGTTCTGGGCAGGGGAACAGCAAGCGCAAAGGCCCTGAGATGGGAATGAGCTTGGAGCATTCTAGGCATTGCAAGGAGGCCAGTGTGGCTGGAGGGTAGAGGGCGCGGAAGAGATGAAGTCAGAGAGGTGGGCAGTGGCCTGGTGGCAGAGTGGCTGTGGAAGAAGTCTGGAGCATATTCTGGGAAAAATGGAAAGCCATTGTACGGTTTTAAGCACAAGAGTGATGCGATCTGATTCAAGATTTTAAAAGATCTCTTTGGCCAACGTGCGGAAGTAGTGACGCTGTGGGCAGGAGTTGCAGGGCTAGGCTTGCGGGGCAAAGCCTCCTGAAAAAAACCTTCCAGCTCTGCAGAGCGCTGTTTGAAACCAACTGCTGTTGGCAACAGAGAGCCCACGAGGGTGTTTGAGCAGGGGAGTGGCACAATCAGGCTGGGTTTGATTGGAATGATCTCTCATCTGGGTCATGAGGGGCTTACAAAGCAGAAGCCAGGCCAGGTGGGTGGTGAGGCTCTGTGGGGAGAGAAAGGTGGGGACCCTGCTCCCCCAGCAACTGCCTCCAGAGGCCCTACCCAGGCAGGGGAGCAAGGTGAACTATTGTGGACCATCTGTGCTTCAGACCCTGTAAGGTGCTAGCAACTACCCCTGTGCTACAGTTGAGGAAACTGAGTCTCAGGGATGAAGTGACGTACTGGGGAGTGGAGACAGATTTGGACTCACAGGTGACAAGTCCCTCCTTACAGACCCTGCCGGTCGGCTCCGTGGTGACCACTGTGCTGGCCAAAGACAAAGACACGGGATCTGGGGGCTTGGTAGTGTACTTCATAGATAAGGTGAGTGTGAAAACCTGTGTGAGAGACAGAAGGTGGAGGGAGTACCAGGGGGTGAGCACGTGTCCCGACCGCTCCTGGTGGCCACCAGGGGGCAGCATCTTCCCAGACAACCACGGGGCCCTTCAGAGTTGGTGTAAAGACAGCGGCTGTGTGGTGGCCCAGCCTTTGTCCCCAAGTTTTCCTCTGACCCCATCTGAGCCTCACTTTCCTAAGGAGGTTGCCCACTGTGCACTGGACTCTTCTTCCCGCTTTCTTCCCCAGACACTGTCTAGGCCCTTGACGAAGGCTAGTGTCATTCCACCAGGTGGCGGATGCACTTTAGGCTTCACAGGAGAGGAAATTGAGGCTCAGAGAGATTCAGGGTCTTGTCCAAGTTCACACAGACAATAAGGGGTGTATGAATCCAGTCCTCATGATGACATATTTGCTAGTTACGTCCCCCATTTACTGAGCACCAACCATGTGCCTGGTATGTATGTTATCTCAGGGAATACTCCCTCCTTTCAACCCATTGGGGTGATATCATGAGCCTCACTTCCCAGAGGCTTAGAGATGTTACATGACTTGGTTAAGGTCATACAGCCAGTCAATGGCAGACCTGGGATTTGAACCCAGGTCTCTCAGAGCCAGGGTCCTCAGGGGTGGGCTGTCCCTCGGGAGCCTGGCCTGAATGTGCTCTGCCCCAGGTCATACCTGACGCTGCGGACAACCAACACCTCTTCCGGATCCTGGCCAATGGCTCCATCGTGCTCAATGGCAGCCTCAGCTACAACAACAAGAGTGCCTTCTATCAGCTGGAGCTGAAGGCCTGTGTGAGTGGGGTGGCCACAGGCAGGGTCAGAGGGTCATAGGGACCCATGGCCCTGGGTCACAGAAGGCCCTGTCTCCCCTCAGGACTCAGGTGGCTTGTACCAAGGCAAAATCATCACCCAGTGCTCCTCCTCCGTCTTTTTGTCCATCTCAGTGATCGACCAGCCTGACCTGGACCCCCAGTTTGTCAGGGAGTCTTACGTGGCCTCTGTGACTGAGGATGCACCCAAAGTGTGTGGGGGGACCTGGAGGGGTCTAGGTTGAGATGGTGGAGGGCAGGGGAATGGGTCTGGGCCCTGACCATGCCTCCTTCCAGGGAACCTCTGTGCTGAAGGTGGAGGCCGTGGACAGCGACAAAGGCATCAATGACCTTGTGACCTACAGCATCTCCAGTGAGAACAGGGTGTCCCCAGGTTGAGGGTTGGGGCAAAAGACAGGGTGGGGGCTCTGTCAGAGCCACTAGAAGCAGCTGCTCTACCTTCCTCCTCATCAGACTCCACAAGGCCTGGCTGGTTTGACATTAAGGCAGACGGGGTCATCGTGGTTAACGGTTCCCTGGACCGTGAGCAGCTACTGGAGGAGGACGAGGAGGTACAAGTGCAGGTCACGGTGAGTGAAGGCTCCACGGCCCCTGCTGGACCCCTACTTCCTAACTTCTGACCTTTGATCTCAGCTCTCCCTAACCACTGGTTCTCTCTGCACTCTGCCCTCAGGCCACCGAGACGCAACTCAACATCTACGGGCAAGATGCCAAGGTGAGCATATGGGTCACTCTGAGGGTAACAGACGTCAATGACCACAAACCTGAGTTTTACAACTGCACCCTCCTGACCTGCACCTTCACATCTGAAGAAGCCCAAGTCAACTTCACTGGCTCCGTGGATGAGCATGCCTCAGCTCGCATCCCCATTGACAACCTCACCCTGGTGGCCTACGACCCAGACAAGGCAGGCATGGGCAGGTGTGGGTGGGGGATGATAGTGGGCAGTGGCTAGAGTAGGATGGAATGGGGATGGCTGGGGGCGGGGTGAGGGTGGTTGATAGTGAATATTAGAGCTTGATAGTGCAGAGAAGGGGGTGTGGGGTATATGAGAATACCTGAGGTGGATATAGGATGACAATGCTGCAGATTAGTGACTAGCGGTAGAAGATGAGTGTTGTTGGGTGACCATGGAAATGTTGGGTAATGTTGAGTTGGTGGGTAGTATTGTGTGCAGGGTAGTGCTAGGTGGTGTTGCATAGAAAGGCAGTGTGAAGTGGAGATTGGAATTGGATGGTGGGTAATGTTGAGCGGAATATAACTTTTACCAGCTGAGGGTGGTGATGGGTGGTTGGTGAGGTTGAGTAGTGTTGGGTGATCAGTGATTTGGGGTAATATTGAGCACTGGAGGCTGTTGAGTAATGTTGAGTACAGGGTGGCCTGAGTGAGTATTAAGTTGGAGGGCACCCTTCAATGGAGGTTGATATTGAGTGATGGGTAATTTGGGTAGTACTGAATGATAAATAACTACGGATGGTATTTGGTATTATTAGGTGATACTGAGTTAGTACAAAATGTTGAGTGGGAGATGATATTGGGTTGTGGTAGTTTGGAGGGTGGTGCTGAGTAGAGGGTGATGCTGAATTGGTTGTTGATGCTGAGTGGAAGCTGGTGTTGAGTTCGTGGTTGGTGTTGAGTGGAGGGTGGTGTTGAGCTGGTGGCTGGTGTTGAGTGGAGGGCAGAGTTGAGTTGGTGGCTGGTGTTGCGTGGAGGGTAGTGATGAGCTGGTAGCTGGTGCTGAGTGGAGGGTAGTATTGGGTGGTGGGTGGTGTTGAGTTGGTGTTTGGTGTTGAGAGGAGGGTGGTGTTGAGTTGCTGGATGGTGCTGAGTAGAGGGTAGAATTTGGTGGTGAAGGTTGGTGGGTGGTGTTGAGTTGGTGGTTGGATTTTGTTTCTTTTAATTGTGGTGAAAATATACACAACATTCTCCACTCAACAATTTTTAGGAGTTCCTGGCTGGTGCAAACAGTTAAGTGCTTAACTACTAGCCAAAAGATTGGCGGTTCGAACCCACCCAGAGGTGCCTTGGAAGACAGGCCTGGTGATCTGCTTCTGAAAGGTCACAGCCTTAAAAACTCTATGGAGCCATTCTGCTCTGCACACATGGGGTCACCATGAGTTGGAATTGACTCGGTGGCAGCTAAAAACAACAGCAACACATTTCAGTGACATTGATTACATTCTTCATGTCGTGCCACCCTTTTTGCTATCATTTTCCAAATCATTGCGCCACCATTAACATAAACTTAATGATCGCTAAGCAAAAACTTCCCCTTCTATGATCTCTCCTCCTCCTGGTAACCACTGAGAATCTTTGTTTTCTATATATTTGCTTATTTTATTTAAGTGAGATCATATGGTATTTACTCTTCTGCAGCTGACTTATTTCGCTCAGCATAATGTTTGCTGTGGCATGAATCAAGACTTCATTTCTCTTTATGGCTGAGTAATATTCCATTGCGTGTATATACATTTTGTTTATCCATTCATCTGTTGATGGACATTTTGGTTGTTTCCACCTCTTGGCTATTGTGAACATTGCTGCCGTGAATACTGGTGTACAAGTTTTTGGTTGTGTTCCTGCTTTCATTTCTTCAGGGTATGTACCTAGGGTTGGGATTGGTGAATCGTGTGACAATTCTGAGTTCATCTTTTTAAAGAACTGCCAAACTGTTTTCCGCAGTGACCATACCATTTTATAATCTCACCAGCAGTGGATGAGGGTCCCAGTTTCTCCACCTGACCAACACCTGTTGTCCGTTTTGTTTTTATTTTTTAGTCATTGCCATTCTAATGGAGGTGAGATGGTATCTCACTGTGGTTTTTATTTACATCTCCCTAATGGCTAATGGGAGCCCTGGTGGCGAAGTGGTTAAGAGCTTGGCTGCTAACCAAAAGGTTGGCAGTTTGAATCCACCAGTCACTCCTTGGCAACCCTATGGGGTAGTTCTACTCTGTCTTCTAGGATTGCTATGAGTTGGAATCGACTTGATGGTAACGGGGTTTTTGAATGGCTAATGGAAGCCCTGGTGGTGCAGTTGTTAAAAGCTTGGCTGCTAATCGAAACGTCAGTGGTTCAAACCCAGCAGGTGCGCCACAGGAGAAAGATGTGGCAGTCAGCTTCTGTAAAGATTACAGCCTTGGAAACCCTATGGGGCAGATCTACTCTGTCCTGTAGGGTCACTATGAGTTGGAATCAACTCGACAGCAACTGGTTTTGGGGTTTAATGGCTAAAGATGTTGAGCGTCTTTCCATGTGCTTATTGGCCGTTTGAATATCCTCTTTGGTGAAATGTCTGTTCAAGTTCTTTGCCCATTTTTTTGATTGGGTTGTTTGTCTTTTTGTTGTTAAGTTGTTGAAGTTTTTAATGTATTTTTCATATTAGATCCTTATTGGATGTATGATTCCCAAAAATTTTCTCCCAATCTGTAGGTTGTCTTTTACTTTGTTGATAAAATTCTTTGACGAGCAAAAGTGTTTAATTTCTATGAGGTCCTGTTTATCTATTTTGTCTTTTGCTGCTTGTGCTTTTGTTGTCATATCTGATAATCTATCATCAAAAACTAGGTCCCACAGCTACACCTGTATATTTTCTTCTAAGAATTTTATGGTTTTAGTTTTCACATTTAGGTCCTTGGTGGTGCTTGGTTTTCAGTGGAGGGTGGTGTTGAATTGGTGTTGGTGTTGATTGGAGGGTGGTGTTGAGTCGGTGTTGGTGTTGAGTGGAGGGTGGTGTTGAATTGGTGTTGGTGTTGAGTGGAGGGTGGTGTTGAATTGGTGGTTGGTGTTGAGTGGAGGGTGGTGTTGTATAGTGGGTAATATTAGGTGTTGGGTGGTGTCTGGTGTTGGTACTGGGTGGTGGTGGACAGTGAGTGATGGCTGATAAGGAGGGTTGATAGTGAAACTTTATGGGAGTGAGTGGTACATGTCTAGGCTCTGTCTTTCCAGTCCAGATCTGTGGCTCACAGTGCCTGAAGAACTCCTCCTCTGATGAGCCACATTTTATGGAACTGGTGACCAGGCCAGTCTCCTGGCACCTCCTTCCTGCACACTCCATCTTTTGAGAGCCCGCTTCTCATGAGCAGGGCTTCCTGAGGAAGGAACCTGGGGACAAATGTGCAACAAAGATGCAGGTGGATGCATTGTAAGGGGATGGATCTCTACATAAACGGCCTGCCTTCACAGGGCAGCAATGGCACCTTCTTACTCTCCCTGGGGGGTCCTGACGCTGCGGCCTTCAGTGTCTCCCCTGAGCGGGCCGTAGGCTCAGCTGAAGTGCAGCTGCTGGTGAGGGTGTCATCAGTCGTGGACTACGAGAGGCAGACTGTGATGCTTGTGCAGGTGAGGGCCCGGTCAGGGGCTCAGGTCCCGGGATGGGGGGACCAGGAGTGTTCTGTTCTCAGTGTGCTGCCTCTTCCCTGCCCTCAGGTGGTGGCCACTGACTCTGTCAGCCAGAACTCCTCCATCGCCACAGTGACCATCCATGTCAGAGACATCAATGACCACCAACCCACATTCCCAGAGAGCCTCTACGTCCTCACTGTGCCAGAGCACAGTGCCAATGGCTATGTGGTCACTAATAGCATCCATGTGAGTGATGTGGGACATAGTTGGGCCAGGAAGGGGACTGTGGCCCTGCCTGAGTCTCTGTGTCATCCGAAGTCTCAGTAAACACCCATTGGTGCACGAGTGTGTGCGTGAGGTGTGTATGTGTGCGTGTGTGTGTCTACGTGTGAATCTGTGTGTGTCTCAGGGAGGTTCTTTCTTTGTGTCAGGAAGTACAACAGCTCCATCCCCAATCATTGGGGGGTTGGCAGCAAATGCCATTGCCTTCAAACAGTGCTCCCATATCTCTGCCTCACAGGCCACTGACCCTGACACAGGTGAGGGCGGCCACATCACCTACAGCCTGCTCCCAGGGAATGGGTAAGGCCTCAGTGTTGGGGGGCCGTGGGCAGGCAAGTGGGTGGACAGGGCCCAGGCCCACCTTTCTGCCTCACAGCAGGGCTAGGGCTGCAGATAAGATACAGGATGCTCAGTTCCATGTCAGTTTCAGATAAACCCTGAATCATGTTTTAGTATAAGTTTGTTGCAAATATTGCATGGGATGTGCTGAAATGTTTTTTTGTGATTTATTTGAACTTCAAATGAAACTGGACACCCTCTATTTTTATTTGTGAAACCCGGTAACCCTGCACAGGGAGGAACTCTTCGAGGTGAACCCAGACAATGGGACAGTGACAGTGAGAAACAGCGAGAAGCTGGACCGCGAGGTGCAGGCTGTGTACTACCTCACATTGCAGGCCACGGATGGTGGGAACCTGTCAGGCACCACCATGTTACAGATCAGCCTGCTGGACATCAATGACAAAGCACCCGTGGTCAGTGGCTCCTACAACATCTTTGTCCAGGAGGAGCAGAACATCTCCGTGACCATCCAGGTGCGAGCTGGTGCAGGGAGGGTGGCCAGGAAACAGCCAGCTCTGTAGTCATGCTGGCCTTGGTACAAGCTGGGCTCTGCTATGTGGCTCTGAAAAAGTCACTCAGTCTCTCTGGGTCTCTGTTTCCTTTTAGGAAAATGAAGACCATCATAGTACTTATTCACAGGGCATTGGGGAATAATCAAATAATAGATGTAAACTACTCAGCACAAGGCCTGGCACAGAGCACGCCCTCAAAATCATCTTGCTTTTCTTTATTCATGACCCTGCCTCATTCCAGAAAAGATTTGAGGTGGCTTAGATTGAAATTTTTTTAAAAAAGGTTAAAATATGGGAAGAAATAAGGAAAAACAGAAAATAAGGATGGCATTGTGAAAGGGCATAAAGGTTGAGTCGGAAACCAGGGTCACACAATGGTTACAGGTGAGCTGCAAATTCAGCTCTTAGCTTCCTAATGGCCAAAGCAAAAAAGGAAATGAGATCAGTGGTCAGGTTCACAGGGTCTATGAGATAAAAAGCCACCTAGTGGCTCCAGAGAAGCACTGGAAGGAAACGTCTTTCCTGGATCATGAGAACAAGGGAAGCATCTCCCCTGGGTCATCTGAAAGGACGACTTGTGAGAAACAGAAAATCAGACCATCAGAATAACAGTCACATGGCCACAGAGCCCTCTCATTCTTCTAGGTCTGTGCAGTTGACAGAGCACATTTCTGTCCCTGACCTCATTCAGGTCTCTTGACTGGATTGTGATGCAGATGCTTTAATTGTCCCCATTCACAGAGGGAGAGCACTGAGTCTCAGAGAAGTTAAGTGACTTCTCTGCATTTACACAGCCAATAAATGGCAGTGCTAGAGCTGGAGCCCAGGCCTCTCTGGCCCTGAAACCTAGAACTTTCTCCTTGCTCCCTGATACTTCCCACCCTGGCCTGTGAGCTCCATGTGGCAGGGAGCATTTCAGATCTGCCCCTGGGACCTCCATGCCCAGCATGGCACAGTGTGAGCCCCAAGAAGTGCTTGACAAACTAACTGGCCTGAGGCAGAGTGCCGAGGGCTGAACAGATAGGGTCAGGCTTTTGGAAACACCAGCCTTGGGCTTCCACAAAGGAGGCATTTAATGAACAAGATCCCAATAGAACTAAAGAGAAAGAGCTGCAGGTGGCAGGTGGTGGGGGAAGGGGTGTGCAGAGGGCAGAAAGGAAGAGCAAAGAATGTGTTCCAAGTTAGAATATCCCAGCTCTGCCTTCATAGCCACATTTGCTGAACAGCTACTGTGCCCCAGGCCCTTTGCTGGGCCCGGGTCCTCAGAGATGAATCCACCACAGTTCTTGTCACTAAGTGGCTTGCAGTTGGGAGAAAAGCACCAGGACAGTCACTCACATTGTCACCTGTGCTTGTCAAAGGTAGCACAGGGGCTGTGGAGGCCCAGTGGAGTCAGGCAGAGAAGGTGTGGAAAGGACATTCCATGTGCGAGAACAGCACGTGCAAAGGCCCAGTGGCAGGGAAGAACCTGTTGTGTTCTCAGTGCTGGATTACCCCTAAGTCAAACCAAGCACATGTTCAGGGTCCTCACAGGGCAGGAAGACACAGACACACATTGGGTGAAGCAGCAGCTTTTTTAAAAATATAGCACCAAAGTAGTCATCATGGGAAAATCAGAATTTTATTGGACTTCACACTTATTTTATGGCATTTAAAATTTTTTTTGAAAATCTATAATATCCTGCCCCAACTCCTCCCTCCTCACTAGAATGTCAGCTCCACAGGAAGCTGTTTTGATCACAGCTCTATTTCCAGTGCCTAGAACAGAGCCTGGCACACGGTGGGTACACAGTAAACATTTGTGGAATGAATTGAATGACTTTTCAGTGCTTCAGGCCGCAAAAGCTCTTGCAAACTCCTGATCTGAGCCACTTTGATGGTAAGCTGAGGCTGGGAGAGTGGCCAGCATCCCACTGGCTCCAGGTCCAAGTCGGTGAGCCAGTGCAGGGGAGGGGCTGGGACCCTGAAGGCTGCCTGATGCTGATGCCCGCCCCGCCCCCCTCTACAGGCCAGCGACGAGGACCAGCCTGACACCAACAACAGCCGCCTGTACTTCAGCCTGCTGCCCAGCCCCTACAGCGAAAACTTCTCGGTGAACCCTGACACAGGGCTCCTCAGAAGCCTGGGACCCCTGGACCGAGAGGCCATCAACTCCACTCTGGGGGGCCGCATTGTGCTGACTGTGCGTGTGTCTGACGGTGGTGTACCTGTCCACAGCACAGAGGTCAATGTCACCATCAATGTAGAGGTAAGGCTGGGCCCAGCCAGTGCGGGACACTGGGATGGTCTGATGGCCTGCTGGCCCTATATGAGGGATTCCCGTGCACGTGGCCAGTCCCCCTTGGACCCAGGCCACATTTCTGCCCTTTGTGTTGTGGCATGTAAGAGGGCCCTGGGGATAATAACAGTAAAAAGATGAAATGATTTAAGTAATAGGAAGTGCCTAGAACTGTGCCTGGCACATAAGAGACACTTAGTCAGCATTAGCTCTTGGGATTATTCACAAGGTTCTACCCGGAACCCTCCTGTCTCCCACCACCATTCAAGGGCAAAGAGAAGGGGAGAAAAATCAGTTTCTATATGGTCTACTACATGCCTGGTCCTGCAAGGCTGGGACGGTTTTTACCATTTTATTGATCAGGAAACTGAGGCAGAGAGAGGTTCAGTAGCTTGCCTAAGGTCATGGAGCGGGGTTTGAATCCAGGTTTGTCTGGCTTTAGGGTTGCCACCGGCTCACAAGGCACCTTCCTCTGGAAGAGTGTTTAACAACTATGCACCTCTCCAATGTCCATGATGTGAATGGCATCTCCCAGGGTTGTGCAGTGCCCAGCCTGTGCCACTGCACAGAGCAGCCCTGTGTCCTACTGGGTTGGGATATGCCACTTTCCTACAAGGATCAAAGAAACAGACCTCAGAGAAAACAGAGAAAGACAAAATTAGGAGTGCCTTTGCCCTTGAGGGTCAGGATCAAGGGCGGATTATCTAATAAGCAAGGTAAGCACAGTGCTTATCTCGCTTACCAGATCATCTGTAGTGAACAATTCCACATTTTTTCACCACATCAAAGACTCTGCTTCTAGGTATAGCTGGCATCTGTCTCTCTCCCAAACCCACAGCACCTTCCTACAGAATCAAAGCCTCTTTTCAAATTTACCATCCCTGACAGGGGTGGATGACCCAGTAAGCAAGGTAAGCACAGGCTTTCTTGTGCTTATTTACTAATCTGTAGTGAACACTTTCACATCTTTGATGTGGTGAAACCCATGTGAAATTGTTTACTACAGATGATCTGGTAAGCAAGGTAAGTACTGTGCTTACTTGCCTGGGCAGGGTACAAATAAGAGAGAAAGCCAAGTTGAATTTAATGACTGAGCCGGGTCCTTTCACATCCAGGAGCCAGTCCTCACAACAGCCCTGTGAGTGAGGTCTGCTATCCCCGTTTTGCAGATGAGGATACTAAGGCCCAGAGAAGTCAAAGTCACACATGAGGCAGAGGTGGGGCCAGCTTGGACTGAGAGCTGTGCTCTTAACCATGCCTGTGAATTAGGATGACCTTGAGGATGCAGCTGGTCATGTGTGTTGAGCCAGGAATTCCATTTCGAGGAAATCGCCATCAGAAAATACATCTAGTTAAGGCAGAGGAAGCTCTGTTTCCAAAGATGTTTATTCTAGTGTTATAATAGAAAAAGCTGAAAGCAGAAGTGTACATCTGGGACGTCACCTGCCTGAGAGCCTCCTGGGGCCTGTGAGCAGAACCAGGGAGGGGCTGGAGGACCCAAGGGCACCCACCTGAGCACATGTCAGTGTTAAGGGAGAAAGTGGGAGGCAGAGTCGTCTTCGTGCTGTGACAAGAGCTGTGAGTGCTCTGTTTGTGTGTGTGGGACCAGGGTGGAGAGGGAAGGCGAGAGCTGAAAACAGCTGGTATCTCAGGGCAAGTCTGGGTCCAAGCCCTCGTAGGTCTCCAGAACCCAGCTCTGCCCTGAGCACAGAGCCAGTGTCTCGGGTCAGCTGAGTGCAGGAGGGGCAGGAAGGAGATGGGGATGAGGGGAAGCTAGGGCCACAGGGCCTTTGTGGAAACATCATGGAGGTGGTGCCAACCTTAGAAATCTGAGAAATGGGGAGTCAAGCTGGATCAGATGGTGACACAGACGGGGACTCAGAATCATCCTTCCAGAACCACAGCCAGCTGCTGTCGATTTTGACTCATGCTGACCTCATGTGTTTCAGAGTAGAACTGTGCTCCATAGGGTTTTCAATGGCCGTTTTTTCAGAAGTAGATCACTAGGCCTTTCTTCCACGGCGCCTCTGGGTGGACGCAAACCGCCAACCTTTTCAGTTAGCCGAGCGTGTTAACTGTAATACCCAGGGAGTCCTCCTTCAGGAAAACCAAAACAACCAAACCTGTTGCTGTTGAGTCAATTCTGACTCATAGCGACCTTATAGGACAGGGTAGAACTGCCCATCGGGTTTCCAAGGAGCGGCTGGTGGATTCAAACTGCCGACCTCTTTCTTGGTTAGCAGCTGAGCTCTTAACCGCTGTGCCACCAGGGCTAAAACAGTTCCTAAAACAGGGTCTAATACAGGTCTGAGCTGAGGTCAGAGGAACAGGGAGGAGGTGGGGCTCCTTGGTATTGTATAACTAACTGCAGAAGTCCCTTGGCACACCTCTGAGCCAAGGTGGGTGACCTGGGGAAGTTCCATCCTCTCCTGAAAGCTGTTTCCTCATCTGTGAAATGGGTGCACAGCCTCACCGGGTAGTGTTGCCAGAGGAGACATGGGTAGAAAGTATGTGACTCAGAGCAGAGGAAATATTGGCTTCTCAGATCAGCTCTGTTTTTAACTGCTGTCCAGTCAACCCCTGACTCACGGCAGTCCCATGCACGATGGAACGAAACGCTGCCCGGTCCTGCGCCATCCCTATGATTGGTTGCAGATTAGACTGTTACGATCCATAGGGTTTGACTGATTTTCAGAAGCAGATTGCCGGGCCTCCCTTCCTAGTTCATCTTAGTCTGGAATCTCTGCTGAAACCTGTTCAGCATCATGGCAACACACAAACCTCCACTGACAGATGGGTGGGGGCTGCGCTTGAGGAGCATTGGCCAGGAATCGCACCTGGGTCTTTCACATGGAAGTCGAGAATTCTACCACTGAACCACCAATGTCCCTCTCAGACTGGCTCTGGGGAAGGGGAACCCTAAGGGCTGCTGGGGTCCCTTGGGCTCAGGACTGCCTCTGCCTGCAGGACATCAATGATAACCTGCCCGTCTTCAACCAGTCCAGTTACAACTTCTCGGTGTTGGAGAGGGATCCGGGTAAGTCCTCCCTGGGCTCGATGTAGTAGCTGACCCTTCACAGGGAGAGTCTGTAGTACCCAAGGGAGGAGGTGGCAGAAGAGGTTCCTGATGGCCAGGCTAAGGGTCTCTTCATGCTCTGCCCTCACCCACAGGAGCGCTGGTGGGTGTGGTGGTGGCCTGGGATGCGGACCAGACGGAAGCCAACAACCGCATCAGCTTCAGCCTGTCAGGGAGTGGGTCTAACAACTTCCTGCTCCGAGGCTCACTGCTGGGGTCTGGGTGGGCCATGGGCCACCTCCAGCTGCCCGTGGACGTAAGCCTGGACTACGAGACACAGGTCTTCTTTGATCTGATAGTGAATGCCATGGACCCAGACCCCCAGGGTGAGGCCACAGCAACTGTCCACGTGAATGTGATAGATGTGAACGACAGACCACCCACCCTGGACCCGGCCTCACTCCGGGGCATCCGCGTGGCTGAGAATGGTTCACAGTATGGTCTGGTGGCTCAAGTGGTTGCTGAGGACGTGGACACCGATGCTCAGCTAGTGGTCCAGTTTATGAACGTCATCTGTACCAAGGCGGGAGTTGATGTGGGCAGCCTGTGCCATGGCTGGTTCTCCGTGGTGGCCAATGGCTCTGTGTTCATCAATCAGAGTGAGGCCATCGACTATGAGGCCTGCGACCTGGTCACTCTGGTCGTGCGGGCCTATGACGTCATGACAGATCCCCGCTTCCAGGCCTACAGTGACAATGGTGAGGTGGCCAGGCCTGCAGGGTTTGGCAGGCTGCAGTTCAGGGGCTGTGGGAAAGAGTCCTGGGCTGGAAGCCACAGGTCTGGGTTCTAATCAGCTTGGGTCCTTGCTGAGCTATATCACCGAGCAAGTCACACCACCTCCCCAAGCTTCAGTTTCCTCATCTGCCAAGTGAAGTTAGATAGTAGGTTGTCTGTGAAGACTAAATGAGAACATGCATGTAAACATGCATTTAGTGTAGTGCCTGGCACACAGTAAGCTCTTAATTGATGCTGCTGTTTTGTGAGGTGGTGTAAAGGAAAAAGCACACTTCAGAGTCACAGAGACCTGAATTCATATCCCACCTTTGACACCAAATAGTAATAAACCACCAGCTGCCATCAAGTTGATTCCAACTCATGGTGACCCCACGTGTGTCAGATTAGAACGGTGCTCCATTAGGTTTTTTTTTTCTTTCAAATATGTAAAAGGTTTTTATGTTCTCTGAGTTTTTTCTTTTCCATTCTTTTTTTTCAAGTTTCTGCATACATTTTGGTGACATCCATAGGGTTTTCAATGGCTGATATTCGGAAGTAGATCACCAGGCCTTTCTTTCAAGGTGCCTTTGGGTGGACTTGAGCCGCCAACTTTCGGTTAGCAGCTGAGTATGTTAACTATTCGCACCACCCAGGAGCTCCAAATAACAATAGTAGCCTTATTAACAGCTAGTATATTTCAAGTCCTTACTACAGCCAAGAACTATGCCAGGCACCTTGTGAGCTCTCCCACACGATCCATGAGGTCGGTGGTCCCTATCCAATTTTACAGTGAGGCATAGAGTAGGCGATTAAATAACCAACTTACACAGCTGGCAAGTGTCAATGTAATGTCATGGTCAGGTGGGACATACCTGGGCTGGGCCCAGTCCTGGCCCACCACTTTTGCTGTATACCCTTGGACAAGTTGCTTGCCTTCTTTGAGGTCTGGGGGAATGATACTCCCTCCCACACAGGCCAGAGGATGAGTGGGCATCCCAGGGTCAGGAGCAGCGGAGGTGACTGAGCACAGATGCATGGGAGGGAGGCTGCAGGGAGTATGGTTGAGTTCCAGGCTCCCTGGGGGCAGGCCTCTACACGGAGCCCAAAGCCAATCCACTTTGCCCCCCTAGGAACCCTCCCTATCACCATCGAGGATGTGAATGACAATGCACCTTATTTTATACCTGTCAACAAGACTTTTGGTAAGCAGCAGCCTCGAAATCTCCCCCTTCCCCCACACCCTGATTTGCCAGGACCACCCTTGGGCCGCCGCCATAGACCTCCTCTCAGGCCCCAGGTAGGACCTTAGAAATGGAAGAAGGCCTCCCACCCTACCTCACCCCAGGGTTCCAACAGGAGGGGAGGAGGGGAGACCTGAGTTTTCACCCTAGCTCTGCCTAAACTCATATCTGACCCTGGGCTGTGCCTCTCTGGGCCTCAGTTTCCCCATCTGTACAGTGGATGTTAGGTGATATGCCAACTACTGGCTCAGGAATAGCTGTACTGGGGTCTCTAGTGATAAGCCCTGAGCTGGGCTTGTGAACACTGCCCCTGCCCTCACTACCCCTTCCTGTCCACACCTGTAGTGATCATTCCAGAACTTATGGCACCCAACCAGCAGGTGGCTTCTGTCCAGGTAAGTGCTTGGCTCTACCCTTTGGCAGCTGGCAGTCACGGTAGCCTCAGGAGACACAGGGCTAAGGCTATGGGCCTTTCAGCTGCCCCAAAAATGTTTTAACACTAGAAAGGAAATTTATTGGCACCAACTTATGAAAAGAAAACCCCAGGATGGAAATTAATACCTACCTAATTGATGTGATCAAACTTCATTAATTGTTAAATTTAGTATTCATAAAAATTTCATGAGTATAAAAACCACTCGCAGGCTACATTTTTCTCACTACACCAAAGTTCTTGAGTGTTACAGAGAAATCATAGCCAATTATAAATTAAATGAATTCTTTGTAGCTAAATAATTTCCAGAGCAAAATTATAAAAATGTGTTTATGGTGTTGGATTTGGGTACGTTTATTAGCGGGTGGTAGCGGTACTGTGTAGGAGGTTAGGCCTGTCACATAGCCCAGACACTTCTTCCTGAGTTGCCACCCCTCTCTGGGACTCAGTTTCCCCTCCTGGACAAAACCCAAACCCACTGCCGTCCAGTCGATTCCAACTGATAGCAACCCTATAGGAGAGTAGAACTGCCCCATAGGGTTTCCAAGGCTGTAATCTTAAGCGAAGCAGACTGCCGCATCTTTCTCCCACAGCGTGGCTGGTGGGTTCAACCTGCCAACCTTCAAGTTAGCGCCAAGTGCTTAACCACTGCACCACCGGGGTTCCTCCTCCTCCTGGATAAGAAGCTGGCAAATCAGATGCATCAATGACACTAGTTCCCAACAGTTAGGGTTAGAAGGCGGGGTAGTCTCTGGCTGCCACCCCTATCCTGTGGAAAGAGCACAGGTATAGGGGGTGGAAGGCCTGGCCCTCCCTACTTAAAGCTGAGTGTTCCTCGTGCAGGGCTGGGTCCTTCTTGTAAAACGGGGATAGTAACTCCCTTTCTCTGGGTTTTCCAAGGAGTCCCTGGGTGGTGCAGTCCGTTAAGTGCTACGAACTGAAAGGTTGGCTGTTCCAACTCATCCAGGGGTGCCTCAGAAGAAAGGCCTGGCAACCTGTTTCTCAAAGGTCACACAGCCTCGAAAACCCTATGGAGTGCAGTTTTACTCTGCACCTCTGAACACATGGGGTTGCCATGAGTCGGAATCCACTCGACAGCAACTAATTTTTTTTGGCAGGGGGGTTTCCAAACCTTAAACAGTCAGTGTCTGCACTTGCCAGTCTTTGGCCGATTGCATTCCAATGGCGTGAGTTTGGTCTTGGTTGTGAACCTCCATGTATTTTTGGTTTAACAATTTTCTTTAAATTGACTGCTTTTTAAAACTTAACACCGACTTTGGCCTAATCCTGAGCAATTGTGTCGGTGAACTCACAGCTCTGTTAGTTGGTTCTATTTTTTTCTAAAAGGCACTAGAATGAATAAAAATATTGTGCCCCCTCCCCATCATTTCATGGTCCCCTAGGGGAATCTGTACTCACTTTGGAGCCCTGGTAGTGCAGTGGGTAAGGTGATCAACTGCTAACCAAAAGGTCAGTGGTTCAAAACCAGCAGCACTTCTGCGGGAGAAAGATGTGGCAGTCTGCTTCCGTAAAGGTTTACAGCCTTGGAAACCCTATGGGGCTGCTATGAGTTGGAATCGACTCAATGGTAGCGGGTTTGGTTGGCAAACACTGAAATGAGAGGACTCAGGGAAGGGGCCTGGCGCACAGTAGGTACTCAGGAAATCTGAGCGTCCCTGTGCTGTGTATGTGTGGGGGGGGGGGACAGGGCAGGATTTTCATGTGGGAGGGACTTTTGGGCTGTCATCTGTTGAGGGGGAAGGATCAGAGACTTGTGCAAACCTCAACTTGCAGAGCAAGCACACTGTAAAGCATTTGCTTACTTGGGGTGCCCTGGGGGTGGCTGAAGGAGTCTCTGGGTGGCATAAATGGTTAAGCACTTGGCTGCTAACCAAAAGGTTGGCGGTTTGAGTCCCCCCAGAGGTGCCTCAAAAGAAAGGCCTGGCAATCTACTTCTGAAAAATCAACCATTGGAAACCCTATGGAGTATAGTTCTACTCTGTCACACATGGGGTCACACATGAGAATCGACGGTGGCTGGTGCGGGTGGCTGATGGGAGATTATGGGGGCCAGCCTCCTAGGCCACCCCAGCCTCTGGTCCCCCTGGGGGCCGTGGGGTGCCTGGTCTGGCTGCCCAGAGCTATCCACTCCTGCTCCTAGGCCAGAGACGACGACTCAGGGAACAATGGGGCCATCCAGTTCTCCATCTTTCAAGTGGCCTTCGTTTCTAAGGATGGGACTATGTCTTTCCCCAACGTCTTCCGGATTTCCACCTCCTCGGAGGCCAACGTGTTCACTGGCAACATTGAGTAACTGCGGGCAGGCCCCTAGATTGAAGGGGGGACCACAGGGGCCCTCAGGGCAGTGAGCTCCTTATCCTAGGAGGCAGACAAGTGGATTCCAGAGGACTACAGCTTGGATTCCAAGACTGAGCTGTGTCCTCCCACCTCCCATAGGCTGGTGACCAACCTTGATGCCACTCTCCAAGGTACCTACCAAGTGACAGTCCAGGCCCAGGACAGACCTTCCATAGGTGCTGCCCAGGAAGCCAAAATCACCCTGAACGTGAGTGCCAAGTCCTGCCTTCAGCCCTGGTGCCCTCTGCCAGCCCCCTGGTCCTGTGTACCTCATCTCCCCCGACACCATTCTCCTGCAGCTCTTCACTGTGGACCAGAGTTACCGCGTGAGACTGCAGTTCTCCACCAGCAAGGCGGAGGTGGGCGCCAACCTGGAAGACATTAAGGCGTAGGTCTGGGGAGCCTGGCAGGGGGCTGTGGGGAAGAACAGGGCCTGGAAGCCTGGTCTTAGACAAGACCTGAGCAGACTGTCCCTCAATTCTGCCTCTGACCCACATTTGACCTGGTCCCTGTTTTAACCCTGTCCTTGTGCCTTCACCCCTTTTCCCCATGCCGTGAGAGCCTACGGCTGGTTGGGCAGAGAGAAGCCTAAGCAGGGCTGCCATGTACAGTTGTGAAGGCTGTACTCTGCACAAGGGCACTCTGCTTGCCAGGCTGTGAGTCCAGCTCAGAGGAAGGGGTATCCTTTCCTAATTTGCACAGAGGTGCTAGCTGCTGAGCCAGTGGGGCCAGGTTTGTCCAGAAAAGGTGCCCTTTTCTAATTCCCACAATTCATAATTTCACTGTCAGAGCCCTGCCCACTAGCCTGGGCTGAGGCTCCCACTCCAGGCCTCTGACACCCGCTCCCTTCACAGGACTCTCGCTCAAGCAACCAGGACTACTGTCTACACTGTGAGCATTCAGGACATAGACTCTACAACCCGGTGAGTGCCCATTGGCCCAGTGGTTGGGAGTAAGGATGAGAGGCAGGGGGCAGCTGGGTAGTTTTGGGCTGCTGACCCTTCATCATGTCCCATTCCAGGGCCCGGGGCCGCTCCTACCTCGATGCCTACTTCGTCTTCCCAAATGGGTCTGCCCTGACCCTTAATGAGCTGAGTGTGTGAGTGGGGTTACCCTCAGGGTGGCAGAAGGGAGCAGGCCATCTAGGGGTGCCAATGTCCCACAATCTGAGCGGCTTTTGTCTCCAGGAATATCCGGCAAGACCAGGACTCATTGACACAGTTGCTACGGCTGGGCCTGGTGGTGCTGGTGAGAGTGGCGGCAGGGCAGGGGTCACTTGAGAGTGGGGTGGGGTGCTGACTCCACAGCTGCCCTCACCCACCCTTCTTCTCCAGGGCTCCCAGGAGATCCAGGAGGAGTCACACCTGCCAATGGTGATCGCCCTCTCGGCGCTGGGCGTGGTTTTGCTGCTGGTCCTCCTGGTCGCAATCACTGTCATTGTGTGTGTCCGGAAGAGGTGCTGCTCCCATTGCCCCCTGTGTCTCCAACTCTCACCCCGTCCCCCAACCCAAGACATCCGGGGGTAGAAAGAGCTTGAGTTTAGGTGTCAGGTATATCCGTATTCAATTCCCTGTGGCTCACTGTGAGATCATGGGCAGGTCACCTCCCTACCTGAGCCTCAGATTCCTCATCTGCAAAATGGGCATGACACTAGAGTCCTCAAAGCACTTAATGAAGTAATGTACATCTCACACCCAGCAAGATGTCTGGCACATACTATGCATTTAATAAATGCTTCTTCTTCTTTTCTTTCTGATATATAAGGAGTCAGAGCCACACATGGGCTGGGGTCCACACCTTTTCATTAGCCAGCTGTGTGGCCTTCAGCAAATCACTTCCCTTCTCTAACTCTTCCTTGTAGCCCCAGTAAAATGGAGCTAACATTCTCACCTGCCAGGGTCATTGTGAAGCGACAATCTCAGAGCTTGCACTGGGTGTACATGGGTGTGCAGGGCAAGTAATGACCTTCCCGGTTCCCACAGCTACCGCCGGAAGCTTTGGGCTATGAAGGCTGCCAAGGAGGCCAGGAAGACAGCAGCAGGGGAGATGTCCTCAGCCCCTGCCATCCCCGGGACTAACATGTACAACACTGAGCGGTGAGCAGGGATCAAGGGTGGGTAAGAAGCCTCATGGGATGGCTCAGGGCCACAGCTGCTTGACTGAGAGGCCAACTCCACATCTTCCTTCCAGGGCCAACCCTGTGCTGAACCTCCCGACTGAGGACCTGGGCTTCGGGTCCCTCGCTTCCTTTAATGACTTAGACCACATCAGGTGAGCCGTGACCCTATGCAGGTAGACTGGTTGGTGATGGTGATGGTGATGATGGTGTGGTGATGGTGGTGGTGGTGATGGTAGTGATGGTGGTGGTGGTGGTGATGATGATGGTGTGGTGATGGTGATCGTGATGGTGGTAGTGATGGTAGTGGTAGTAGTAGTGGTGATGGTGGTGGTGGTGGTGGTGGAGTGATGGTGGTGATGATGGTAGTGATGTGGTGATGGTGCTTGTTTTCGGCCACAGACAGGGAGGGCTGGGCCTGCCAACTACCTGAGCTCCATCTTTCCCCATAGCCTCAACTCCTTGGATGAAAACACTGTGCACCTGGATCGGAACAGGCAGGAAACCAACGCAGGACAGACAGTGAGTTGATGCCCGGGGCTTCTGACTCCGGGTCCTTCCCTGAATGGGTAGGGTTCAGGACAGAGCTCAAGCAACCTGCTGCAGACATGGGGAGCAGTGGCAGCCTTGCTCCTCTGCACCCAGCCTCAGGAAGGCCCATGGCTTTAGAATGGGGTCCAACCCCTGCTCCTCCATTCATTCTCCATGTGACCCTGGGTGGATGACTTCTCTCTGGTTCTGTTTCTCATCTGTAAAATGGGGGTCAGAACGTCAACTATACAGGCCTGTTGTGAAGATTAAGTAAGAGCACACATATACATTACCTAGCCAAAGCAAGTTCTCACAAATCTGGTTCCATCCCTCTATAACCTTTGTATAAAAACTGGTGAGGGTGGGGGAGAGACAGGGAGATGAATAAACACAGTCCGGCAGTGGGGATGAAGGCAGGCTCAAACAGACGACAGTGCAGCCGTCTGTTAAATGTGTTAGTGGTTAGATTAGATCAATAGTACTGGGCTGTCGATTGACTCACCCAGGGAGCTCTTTAAAAATACCCCCAGGTCACACCCCAGAGATCCTGATTCTGTTGGCCTGGGGTGGGGCCTGGGCACAAATATGTTGTAAAAGCTTCCCAGGGGATTCTGGAGTGCAGCTAGTATTGAGAACCACTTAAGTAGATCAGGTTCTCACATGTGAGGGGCATCAGAGTCACAGAGGGCTTGCTACACACAGACTGCTGGGCCCCGCCCCAGAGTCTCTGATTCAGCAGGTCTAGGGTGGGGCCTGGGAATTCCTGGGTGGTGCTAATGGTTAACAGTGCTAGGCTATTAACCAAAAGGTTGGAGGTTCGAGTCCACCCAGAAGTGCCTCAGAAGAAAGGCCTAGAGATCTACTTCCAAAAAAAAAAAAATCAGCAATTGAAAACCCTATGGAGCACAGTTCTACTCTGGCACACATGGGGGTGCCATGAGACAGAGCTGACTAGACAGAACTGGTGTTTTGAGGGTGGGGCTTCAGGGGAGGCCGATGCTGCTAATCCAGGGCAGGGCATCTTCTCCTACCACTGCCTCCTCGTCCTGCCTCAGAGGACTGTACCTGGGGCCCCACGACAGGTAAAAGCCACCACTAGGCCAAGGGCAAGGAGCCGGGTTGGCACAACAGTTAAACACTCGGCTGCTACCGAAAGGCTGGTGGTTTGAACTCACCCAGCAGCTCTACGGGAGAAGACTTGATGACCTGCTTCCGTAAAGATTACAGCCTAGAAAACTCTATGGGGCAGTTCTACTCTGTCACATGGGGTCGCTATGAGGTGAAAATCAACTCAGTGGCAACTAACCACAACAACAGACTAACGACAGAGATGCTTCCCCTTTGCACTTCCAAGTGGGGGGGGGGGCCTCCACCTGCAGGGGCAAGGTACCAGGAGAGGGAGAAACTGCCTCCCTCCTCCCCATTATGAGCCTACAGTTCTGTAGGGAATGTCACCCACCCATCCACCCCACACCCACCATCCACTTGGTTCTGCCCACACTTGGTCCTGCCCTCTACCAGGCCCTGCCCTCCGGGACTCCCAGCCTTCCCCTCGTGCTTCAGTATTTCCCTGAGGACCCCTTACTTGGAAAGATTTGGTCAGCAAGTCACCCTTGGGCTTTACAGTATGTGACTGCCGACAGGGACCCCAGTGAGAGAATGTGGGACACTGACCTCTCTTTGAAGATGGTTTGAGGCAAAAACTCCAGCGACCATATATGGGGGGAACTGAGGCAGAAGGGAGGCACTTGCCTGCCAGAGCCGGTGGTTTGAAGAGAGCAGGCCAGTGGCCCAGACAGGGGCTAGCCCCCAGGGGAGACTGGCAGGAGTGGAGTCAGGGGGTGAGGGGGCTGGACCTGTGGGCTAGGAAGCAGCGGGAAACACTGAGGGAGGAGTCTGGAGGGGGTGGGGCCAGGTCACAGGGAGCTTTCAAAACTAGAAAAGAGCTAAGAATTTGTCCTGGGGGAAGGGAAGCGGGGATGGGGTTATATTTCTGAGAAGCTGCCAAGGCTCCACTTCCTTCCTGCCTTCTCAGGAGCCTCCCCGTCCCCTCCCTTCCCGTCCCTGGGTGGAGAACTCAGGTGGCACCTTTTTCAGGGAATCCCGTGGTGCTGCTGACTCATCCCAAACCAAAAACCAGGCCTATGGTGACCCCATACGCGTCAGAGCAGGGCTTTCAATGTCTGATTTTTCAAAAGTAGATCATCAAGGCGCCTCTGGTGGATTAGAACCGCCAACCTTTCAGTTAGCAGTGAACACTTAACCGTTTGTACCCCAAACCCAAAACCACACACCCGTTTCCATAGAGTCAATTCCGACTCGTAGTGACCCTATAGAACAGAGTAGAACTGCCCCATAGGGTTTCCAAGGAGCAACTGGTGGATTCGAACTGCCGACCTTGTGGTTAGCAGCCAAGCTCTTAAACACTACGCCACCAAAAAAACAAAATACCAAACATGTTGCCGTTGAGTCGATTCCAACTCATAGTGACCCTATGCCACCAGGGCTCCATAAATGTTGGTGTGGAATGTGAGTGATCTGAGAGTTTCATCCAATCTACCCTTTCCAAGTCACCAATAGAGAAACTATTGCCCAAGGTCAGACAACTTGCAATGCAGGGGCAGATCCGAATCCAGGTCTCCTGCCTTCCAGGCCAGGTCTCATTATCCTGGGCCACTCTGCATAACAGCTCCCAGCTCAGGGTCTGTGGCAAGGGCTCTGGGGAGCACAGGCAGAATGTTCCATCCCTCTGGGGTCCCTCAGATATTCCACTGTTTACCAGGGACCAGAACAGCCTGTCTGGAAAAAGCCCTTGGAGTGTCCCAGGGAGGGTGGTGGTGGCAGGGACTCAGGCCCTGTGGGTGTCTCTGCAGCGGACTAGCTGAGGTGGGGAGTGGGTGTTGGTCCAGGGGTAGGCGGACATGTGAGGAGACAAGAAGCTTGATGTGTGTGAGTGTTGGGCACATCACACGAGGAGGGGGAGGAGGGCAAGTGCCATGATGATAAACTGCAGGTGGGACCCTGGGCATGCTGTGTCCAAGGGCTGCAGGAAAGAGACGCTGAACTCAACCAGGGACAGCATCACACAGGGCAAGGGCTTTAGAGCCAGCAAGACCAGCGGTCCAAACTCCGCTCTGCCCCTTCCTGGCCATGAAAGCCCTCTGGGCCTCAGTTTGCACAGCCATAAAACGGAGGACATTCTCCCTCCCTTTAGGGGTATTCTGGGTAATGGATGGAGCACGCCTAGCACAATGCCTTCCACAAGGTACAGGTGTCAGGAACCATGTCTGGATGGCTCCCTGGCACAGGGCCTGGTGTAACTCAGGATTGAGCAGATTGCCAAAGTGCTGCTGTGTCCATGGTTGGGGCAAAGGCCAGGTAGGCCCTCCCAGGCCCACCTGCACCACCACAGGACACAGCCAGGAAACCGAATTCCAGGAGGAGCAGGGAGTCCCCAGCCATGTGGCCATCTGGGTGTGGGCTTGGAGGTCTGCCCCCTCCCCCAGGGCCTGGAAGATCACCCCATCTTGCCCCTGCCCTTCACACCTGCCCTCTCTGTCCCCCTAGGAGCCGCTGCCCAGTTGGGTGGAGCCAGATGCAGAACCCCTGAGCCTGGTGCTGTCAGAAACACAGGAGAGCACCAGTGGCCTGCAGGAGTCACTGTCCTTCACCGATAATGCCCCGGACACCACAGACCTGTGATGCAGGCCCTGCCACAGAGCCCCACCTTGCTCTCTGCTCTTCTTGATTACCCCCAAGTTGTACCTATCCCTCTCTGGGTGCAAAAATATATCTTGTTGCCCTGCCCCCTGCTGCTTTTAGCCAATCACAACAGACAAGGGTTGGGGAAAGATTTTATTACCAATGTATACTGTGACAGTTTGCAGCCAAAAACCACGGCTGGAGGGGCGGGGACAGGGGCACTGAGTGGTCACAAGGGACTTGTGGGGGCTCACAGCACAGGGGGAACACAGGGCTGCAGAGGGTGGCCTTTAAAGGACAGCTGTGTTATAGAATGAGCTCTCCATACCATCCTCAAGACCAGCGGTCACCAGGCTGCCTGTGGCCTGAGACCTTCCATGAGCCTCTAACTGTGACCTCCCAGACTGAGACCCTCTTACCTTTCTTCTCCCTCTCAGCTGAGCCCCCAGGGGCGCATCCTTTGCTACCTTCGGCTTATCTAGGAATTGTGAACCAGTGACCAGATGCAAGGGAGAGATAAGAGGTGGGGGACTGGGCCGTGGGAGCAGATGGATTGTGGAAGGTCTACCAACAGCATGCAGGAGATGCCCACGCCCTGGGGGCCAGCCCACCACATGGGCACACTCACTCTTACAGAGCCTCACACGCCCAGGGCCACACATTCGGAGCCTTGCACATTCAAAGTCCTCCACACCAATCCTTGCACACTTGGAGCTTTACCCACTCAGAATTTGTACACACAGTCTCTCCCACTCTGGGGACCTGGCCCCGCTGGAGGACTCAACACACCAGTCTGTACATCTCAGGAGCCTGCCTGGCTCTGAGGGATTGGGGTGGGGTGCTGAGCAGGTCCCCCAGTCGCCCAGTGTGACCGGGATGGAGTGGAGCTGAGGGCTATGAGGGGGCAATGGGGCATCAGGGCTGGGTTCGTGGGCTCATGGCCACGAGGAAGCTGGGTAGAGGGGGTTCAGGGTGTGGGTCTGGGAGGGAAGTGGATGGAACTGGTTGAGAAGGAATCTAGAGACTGCCTACCCCTCAGGGCCTGGGTCAACGGAGCCTGAGAAGGTTGGAAACCCGAGCGTCGGCGTACAAAAGGGGCGCGCGGATCACTCGGCCGTGGGTCCCGCCCGCGAGCAGCACCGCGGCCGCCGCACACTCTGCAGCAGCGCGCGGAAGAGACCCGGCGGGCGCTTGGCTGCGTCCTCTGGTGGGGCAGCACG